TTTACTGACTCTTCCTCTCGATTAAGTAAACACAGGGAACCTTTGCCGTTTTTACCTGTATATTTTAATCTTCAAGTTTTTAGATAGAAGACGGGAAGACAAGAAATTTAGAACTGAGTGGTAACAAATATTTATCGAATTGAATTTCTTTGTGAATGTAATTTTAATTTTTTACTGTCGGCCACAGACATTTGAAGTCTGCCACATTTTCGAATGATTTATTAGCTATATTTCTGTAATAATTTTCTCATGAATTCTGATGATGATAGTTGAATATAGACGATCTACTTAGTTTTCTCGCATTGATTCTAGACTAACTCCATATCAGATGCAAGTTACTCGGTTTTTAGAGCACAATTTGACGAAACGATTTGCGCTCTAGTAAGGTGGGGCTGACATCAAGAGAACGGGAAGTTTCAAGAGACATGCCTCATTCCTTGCATCCTGTAACTCTCTGTAGGTATACATCCCAGCTTGCAGAGCGGAGCAGTAATTTGCTGCTGGACTTCGTCAGCACAGTCATTCTTGGTTCCGAACCCTATCGGGACCGATGACCATAATTTTATTTGTTCCATGAATACTTTTATGTTATGAAATTGTCCTCCACTTCGACTGGAGGAGGGGTTTGTTTAGTACTATCTGACATTAAGGAACGTAATGGATTTATATAATTTTCTACCAGAGTTTTGTGAATATGGTAATGAACATCCGATTTCCGTAAATGACACGTAATTTCATGACTAACTGGGCGACCGTTAGCTTCTTGAGAAGGACTCTACTCCCTGAAGTTGGGTGTGCATTCTTCGAAATTCGGCTCTCTTACCATGCAACACCAATCTACCGCCGATTTGCTAACTGAAAAGCAGACTGCATTAACACTTAGGCCCGAGTGAAGTGAAGACGATATTAGAGATGTGCAAATAAACGCTAAATGAGTTGAGGCAGAACACGCTGCAAGCCGTTCACCTTTCGGTTCCTTGAGCTCTCAAGATACTTCCGGTTTGCGATTTGTGTACTGCTGCTTGTGGAAGCTATTCCGGGGCCCTGTATTGCATAGCGGGTTTCCAATATACTTTAATCCGAGGCTCTATTGAAATGAAAAAGAAAGAAAGAAAGAAAGAAAGAAAGAAAGAAAAAAAAAGAAGTGAAGTCCAGAGAACCGATACTAAGACTGTAGAAGTATACAGGATATATTCAACGGGCTTCTTCAGCAAAAGGATTTAAAAATAAAATAACTAATATACGATGAACTCTACCTTTATAATAAACAAATATTAAATTCACACGCATACTGTCACTCAGATTGGCGAGGAGTCGGTACTATACCTGCTTAGTGAACGAGTAAACAATCGGCATTAAAACGTCAATGCTTGTTATTATTTTGCATTTACAAAACTGAGTACACAGGCCTATACATTCGTCAATACATGCTTCAAAGTTGTATTTTAATAGTACACTACATTTATATAATAAATCAAATACGATTTGAATGCAACATATTAAAAAATTATTTCGTTTTTTCTTTACCTCCAGAACATCTGAGACCATGGTTTATAGTTGAATATTTTGCTGCTGTAATTTCGAAAATGTGCTAATACCATCCTTCTTTTCTATTTTTTTCCCTTGGCACTATAGCCCCAGTGGGCCTAGGCCTACCTACATGAACTTCTCCGTTCACTTCGGTTTTTCTAGATCTTACACGTTCGGTAGGACTCCTTGGGCGGGTGATCAGCTCGTCGCAAGGCCTATACCTGTACACAAACACAGAAAAACGCACACAAATATCCATGCCCTGAGTGGGATTCGAACCCATGATCACGGCTTCCGAGCGAGCGAAGACAGTGCATGCCTTAGACCGCTCGGCTACCGTGACCGGCTCTTTTCTAATTATCTAGATAAATTATGAAGTGAATGTGAAAAGGTAAAGCTATCTCTGTAACAGACTACTACTGAAAAGAAACCAGGATTTGTCTAAGCAAGAGTCAACTGCCTTGCATCCTTTCATCTGTGGTTTTACAGACTTAACAACGATTTAGCAGAACATTCTCCTAATCTGGTGTAACAGAATATTTAAGTACCAAAATGTATGGGGGCATGCGGTAGCATAGTTAGTTGAGGCACCATGCTACAAGCCGGAAGATCGCGGGTTTGATTCCAGATGAGGTCACTGGATTTTTCAATTTACCTAATCCTTCCAGCCGCAATATGGCCCTGGGTTCGTCTCCGCCTCTAGCAGAAATGAGTACTAGGAACCTTCCTGGGGATAAAGGGCGGCTGGAGAGTAAGGCTGACAACCTTCGCCTTCTGTCAGCCGATGTCTAGAGAAATGTGGGATCCTCGAAGTCTCATAATCCTATGGGCCTCCGCGGCCTGTTACAGTGAGAGTTTTTAATTTTTTTATTAAACTGTATGGGACCTACTTGTAAGTCTAGAGATTATGAATGGTTGCGTGGTTAGGATAACAATGCGAACATGTGGCAAAGCTGGGAACTACATTCACGAATAGGCTAAGAAGAATGCTTGCTACCACTCAATCCAGATTCTCCGTCACATTTCTTATATAAGTTCAAATAAAATTAAAAATATTCCTGCTGTTTTGTATGAATGTATAACTTGGTCTCTCGCCCTATGGAAAGGACACGGATTGAGGATGTTTGAGAACAGGGTACTGAGGAGGATATTTGAGCCTGTCACAAAGGAGTAACGGAAGAACTGGATTTTTTTTACTCTCTATCGTATATTATTGGATTGATCAAATCAAGGTTGTTAGATGGGTGGTGTATGTAGCATGCGTGGATGAGATTAGACGTTTATACAAAATTTCAGTCGGGAAAGTGATTAGAAAAAATCACTTGTAAGACATAGAAGTAGATGGGAGGGCATTAAAATTGACGTTAAGGAAAGAGTGTGTGCGGATTTGGACTGGATTTATTTAGTTTCTTATAGAAGAAAGGCAAAGGGATGTGTTAATATAGTAACAAACTTTGTGTTCCATAAATAGCTGGGAATTTTTATAATAGCTGAGCGACTATCAGAGTCTCGATAAGGACTCTGCTTCATGAATCAGTCAGCCAGCTTTTTCGACGATGCGAGTAGATTGATCTGGCTCAAGATCTGCTCCCAGGTCCATACCATACTCTCTTAAAGGAAATGTTATTCCTGTGCCTGAACACCAAGCCATTAAGGCCTACTGGGGACTAGAGGTGAAACTCCACTCATTCTTAACCTCAGAATTAGATGGGGATGAGTGGTGGGCTTCATTCTGGCTAATTTACCTCCGGAGAAGGATCCACAAATATTCAATGGAAAGAATCCAGATAACGTGGCCTCTGCCTGGACTCGAACCCTGGTCTTCCGGTGTCTGTAGAGATTAGAGGATTTTCTTGGGAAATCATGCTACCGTATCGATCAAACGCCGGACTTCCAGGAATTAAAACAACTGTATGTCTTGTTTTTTGTATGTTTTGTTTTTGGTTTTTTGACCAAGCGGGGCTTCGCCTTTCATCAGGTTTTATTTGTTATGAACTCTGTTCTTTAGGCGAGCAGAAGGAACTCAGCCTAAGTATGGCTGTCTGTGTGTCTATTGTATTTCTTACAGACACCGCTTACTAAACCTATTTTAGTTGAATGGGTCGTTTTTCTGATCAAGTGACAACTTCACGCATTTTTACAATCTTCTGAGCAACACGCGCAAAGTCTCGTTTCTCCAAAATAAAGAAGGAATACATTCGTACACATTTTTATCATAGTAAAGACCTCCTCCATTTGTAGTACATCTTTGTATTTGTCTTAAATTTTACAGGTAGTGAAAATTAGTTCAATATATGGTACAGAGTAAAATGAAGAAATTATCAGCAAGATGGAGCTCACTCCCTGGAGCAGAATCCTCCTTGAGAAGACGCCCGTAGCTCAGCTACTGAAGAATGTCTCAACATTTTATGCAAACCGAAGGTTCATTGCCGCGTTCACAAGGGTCTGACACTTGTCCCTATCTTGAATAAAATCAATCCAGTCCATATCACCCCATCATAATTCTCTAAGAGCCATTTTAATATTATCCTTCCACCCACGTTTAGGTTTTCCGAATGGTTTCTTTTGTTCTGGGTTTCCCACCACAACCCTTCTTATCCTCCTTAACTTGATATTTCTAAGTATGTTTTGTGAAGGGTACAAGTTACAAAGTTCCTCAACATGCAATTTTCGCCAACCTCCCTCTTGGGTCCAGGTATTCTCCTCAGCACCCTGTTCTTAAACGCTTTCAGTCTGTACTCTTTCCATAATATCAAACCCAAATTTCACACCCATACAGAAACACAGGAAAGTTGGTCTTGTATATTCTCATTTTTGTGTGTTTAGACAGCAAACGAGAAGGCAAAACTTCTGGAATGAATGGTAGCAAGCATTACCCAGATCCAGCCTGCTCTTAATTTCCTCATGATTCAAATTTCAATTTGTTTCTGTCGTTCAAAAACATTTTAATTTTGTCACATTTTTAGAGAATCTCTTAGTTATCTTTATGTCATGATAACTGCCCTGCATTCTAGTGATGAAACATCACTAAACAAAGAAGCCTCTAAAATGATGATGATGATGATGATGATGTCATAAATGATACTTATGGTGTGTACCTTTAGAAATTCTTGACTTGTATTCTAATGTATCTCACTTGTAACACATTGATAATTTAGGTGTTTTAGCTGGGTTAAATGATGCACAGGAGAAAAGGACTAGAGAGAACGAATATGTCTACTTTTACTATAGGGTTCCTCAAAAATGAAATACGGAGATTGGTTACTAACAGACACACGGTATCTCAGATATGTTACTTCTGTAATGTAATCTTGTTGAAACTGGAGTACCTCGGGATGGTTGAATTATACCTCTCTCCCCACATAATTTACTTTATTAAATACCAATACTGACTAAAATACATTTAGAATCTTAAACGTCAAACCGCACTGCGAGCTACGGAAAAGATTTTGTTTACAAGTAAAACGTACCTTGATTGTGGGCGAAGACTAACAACACGGCAACAAGTAAGTAAGAATGTAGCATCCTGGAACATATGCCTTCGGTGTTTAAGAAGCAATAACAGAAGAAGCATAACCTTACAACCACGTCAGTTCATCATTCCGAAAAATGAAATAATGCTGCTGTAAATTATACGTGTTTCAGAACGCATTCCGCACAAAGTCGATGGCAAATTCGTACTGTACAAGAAATTATGGAGCGCGCCAGATTCTGCAGAGTAGCGGGAAAAATGGGAACTAACGTGACGATGCCCGAGACAGAGTACAGTGAAATGGTCATCTTGCGACCTCTGTTGCACGAATGTCGAAATATGTAATTCAGGTTCGAATGCTCAGTCACTGCAAAAACTGTTTCCTTGCGGGGGAGGGGGTAAAAGTGGTGGGTCTTTTATAACATATGGATTTTCGTGGCCTTCATAATCATTTTAATGTTACGTGACAAGTTCAACACAAAACTGTGTTTTTGTGGGACACCACGGAATGACATTTTTTTCAGTATTTCAACCTCTGAATTACGACTTGAGAACTTGGCGCCAACCAGTTCTGGGTCATTGTTTTGACTGCTATCCACAATGATGATGATGATGATGATGATGATAATTAGCAATAACAATAACAATAATAATTTATTTTAACAACTTAGTACCGAAGTAACACATTCACTTTCTCTCTTCTTTATTTTGTTTCGTGGGCTAAATTTTATTTAGAAGGAAAGAAAGGATAAACGAATGTTGTATTGGTATAACTGAAACATTATCAAAATTTCATGGAAACAATACTTTTGATTTTGAAAACAAATATGTTCTCGAGATAAATATTCGGGTTTCGATTCCCAGGAATTGCAGGAGACTTTCTCTAATCTATGGCATCCAGACCGTCACTGGGTCTCACCCTGCTTCCTATATAATTGATACGCAGAGGGGGAATTTCCCTGGGAGTACGGCCACTCGACTCCACCCGGTACCGAGGCCAAGAATGGCGGAGCCATACCTTCACTCCCTTATGCGCCGTCATGACGGTCATGATGATATGCTTTAAGCTCAGGGACAACTTTACCACACCTTCAGATCAGGGATAGACAAATTATGGTTCGTAGGGCAAAAGCGAACAGCGAGAATGATATGTTCGGTCCAAACTCGTGTTCAAATATTATTAGCAAAAGGACTTACTGTCAGTTTTTACTTTCTCGTATATTCCTTTCTTTCCATTCTCTATGGCTCTACAGCCCATTGGACCTTGGCCACTTTGTCAGTTTACCAATCCTATACACAGTCGGTAGGACTCTTTGGACAGAGGATCAGCCCGTCACAAGACCGCAACCTACACACAAAACAACAAAAATACAGAAAAAAAGACATACAGGCATCCATGCCTCGAGGGGGATTCGAACCCACGACTCCAGTGTTCGAGCGGGTGAAGATGGTTCATGTCTTAGACCACGTGACCACTGTGATCTGATACATAATATAGGTAAATTATTGATATACGTGGTGAAACTTGGTCTCGGACATTAAGAGAGGAACATAGACGGAGGTTGTTTAAGAACAGGGTGTTCAGGAGAATATTTGGACCGAAGAGGGATGAAGTGACAGGAGATTTGAGAAAACTGCATAATGAGGAGCTTCATAACTTGTACTCTTCTCCAAGCATAATAAGAATGATCGAGTCAAGGAGGATGAGGTTGACAGGGCATGTAGCACGAATGGGGGAGACGAGGAATGCATAAAGGATATTGGTGGGAAATCCAGAAGGATAGAGACCACTGGACAGACCAAGGCGTAGGTGGGTGGACAATATTAAAATGGATCTTCGAGAGATAGGATGGGATGGTATGGATTGGATTGATCTGGCTCAGGATAGAGACCAGTGGAGGGCTCTTGTGAACACGGTAATGAACCTTCGGGTTCCGTAAAATACTGGGAAATTCTTGAGTAGCTGCAGAATTGGCGGCTCCTCAAGAAGGGCTCAGCTTCATGAGTAAGTAAGTAAGTAAGTAAGTAAGTAATTAAATAATTCGACAAGTTACGGAAATTTCAAGTTTTTGGGTATCCAGGGCACTTATATAAGATGTAATAATTTACAGTTAGATGACAACTATACGTGTAAGAGTATACAGTTCGCCGGGCCTCGGTCCATTCGAAACTGCCCATCTGGACCCTAAGCAAAACAAATTTCCAACTCCTGATCCAGAGAGTCTTGGAATATGCAAATTCCACATAAAGTAAAAAACGATTTTTTTTCTGTTAACTTGAAAAAGACATTTTGAGATTTCTATAGAATAGTAACCGGTGGCATGAGAACTTGCTTTCAGAAATCTCTTTCCAGAATGAAGCAGTGTTCTTTATTGAAGGACTGCTCTGAAGGGTAACAGCAAGAGGCCGTGTTTCAACAGTGAATCACTGTATTTGTATAAAGCCTCTCTACCTTCAGTCATTTCATTCACATAATCCAGAAAAGTTCGTATGTAACTAGAGCGAATAAAAAAAAGTAAAGTAAAGTAAAGTAAAGTAAAGTAAAGTAAAGCTATCCCTGTAACAGGCCGTGAAGGCCCATAGGGTTGTGAGACGTTGAGGCTCCCACAGTGTCTAGACAGTTGGCTCAAAGACGGCGGTATGGTTGTCAGTCTTACGCGCCGGCCGCGCTTTACTCCTCAGGAAAATTATTTTTCTTGACTTGAACCTGCGACCTTTCGGCTTGTAGCATAGTGCCTCAAATAACTACGCTACCGCGTTCCCCTTCTTAAGGATCCGCCAATTCTGCAGCTACTCAAGAATTTCTCAGCATTTTATGGAACCCGAAGGTTCATAACCGTGTTCACTAGAGCTCTCCACTGGTCCCTTTCCTGAGCTAGATCAATCCAATCCATCCCATCCCATCCTATTTCTCGAAGATTCATTTTAAAATTGCCCACCCACCTAGGCCTTAGTCTTCCCAGTCTTAGGCTTTCCCACCAATATCCTCTATGCTTTACTCCTCTCCCACATTCGTGCCACATGCCCTGCCAACCTCATCCTCCTTGACTTGATCATACTAATTAAGCTCCTCATTACGCAGTTTTCTCGAACCTCCGTCACTTCATCTCTCTTCGGTCCAAATATTCTCCTCAACACCTTGTTCTCAAACACCCTCAGTCTACGTTCCTCCCTTAATATCAGAGACCAAGTTTCACACCCATACAGAACCACAGGCAAAATTATAGTTTTGATTATTCTATTTTTTATGTTTTTGGACAGCAGACGAGAAGACAAAAGGTTCTGGACTGAATGGTAGCAAGCATTACCCGAGTTCAATCTCCTCTCAATTTCCTCCTGAATCAGGTTTCGATCTGTTATCGTTGTTCCCAAATATCTGAACTGTGCCACATTTTCAAAACATCTGTTTCCCATCTTTATGTCATTATTTGCCCTGCATTTTGGTGACAAGACAGCAACATATACTTAGTTTTCGCTGTTTACTTCTAGACCAACCTCCTTACTTGCATCAATTAAAGTTTGTGTGTTTTCTTTATGGTATCTATATTATCACCCAGTAGATTCACATCATCGGCATAGACAAACAGCTGATGTGTCTCGTTTAATTTCAGTCTCATCTGGTTTTACCTGGATCTTCCTAATAGCATATTCTAAAGCAAAGTTGAAAAGGAGTGGCGATAAAGCATCTCCTTGTTTTAGACCATTCTGGATAGGAAATCTATCAGACAAATGTTTACCTACACGGACTTTACTATATTTATAGCACGTGAAATTATTAAGCTCACTAGTCAGCGTTCTGTTATTTAATTACTTCCTCTCTTTAACCTTCATATATTCTCCTCTGCACCTTTCTTTCGGAAACTCCCAATCTATGTTATTCCCGCAACGCGAATGATAAGTTTTGCATAAATGTCTACAAATTGAATCACACTGGACGGTGTTGACAATTATTATTCTATAATTTTGTACTGAAATAAAAAATTCGATTTTGTTTATTTTAACCTTTGTGTATTTCGACACTGAATAGCAAATTACATGTTTCTGAATTTAATGTTAGGCCAATTGAGCACTCCCTGAATTTTATATGGTTTTAATTTTTTTTTGTGAATTTAATTTTGATTTCTTACTTTGGTTCCTGATATGTGAGAAGATAAAGCGATACTGTATAAACCCATTCGCCAAACTACACTGTCTGTTCCTGGCCTCAGTAAACTTTGTTCGCTACAAATCACACGCGATCTAGGTCCCAAAACATCGCTGTACTGAGCGTAGGCATACTGCAAGTGAAGCCAAAACTCACATGGATATAAATAACATGGAAGCTGAAATGTCAACGGCGTGGTGATCATGGTTAGTTCCCTTATTTCGTCTTTGAGAGGTCTTGAGTTCAAACTTCGTCTCGGAGTCCGACTCTCCTGATTTTCTTTCCCAGTTGTCGGATTAACACTCTTATATAGACCATTGTCGTTTCTTTCCGCGTCCCTTCCAATTCAGCGTTTGCCAGCAGCCTTCGGATTGCAGCTGTTCAATGCTGGGAATTGAAAAGACATCACAAAATAAACCGAAACTCAATAAAATGTCAGTATACTGAGATAAATAAATATTATAAATACAGAAAAATTATCATATAGAACACTTAGAACTTCTTACCGTAACAAAACGTGGTATTATCCCTGTGCTTAACTAATTAAGCACTACGCTATGAGGAAGTATGGAGAAGTGTTTGTGTAGATCCACGTATTCTTGACTTCGACACTACTTGGAGGTAAGTGTTCAGCTTCACGTCCCGGCCGTTTTACTCCCGGGGAAATTTCTTCCGCAATCCATTCGATAGGAGGCTGGGTGGCCCTCAGAACCGGTCTGGACGACGTGGAAAGAAGAAAGTTCTTGACCCTACCGGGACTCGAAATCCGACCCCTCGGCCGTTCATCCCGTAACCAACCGCTATACTGACTGAGATACCCCTATAAACAGGAAGGTTGCATGTTCGATTTCCGATGAGGTCACTTGATTTTTCAATTAACCTAATCCTTGCAGCAGCATTAGGCCCTGAAGTCGACTCAGCCTGTAACAGGAATGAGTAGCAGGAATCTTCATTGAGGTAAAGGGCGGCCTGCTTGTAAGGCTGACAACCTCACCACCATCTCTGAGCCGACTGTCTAGAAAATGTGGGAGCCCCGACGTCTCACAAATCTATGGGTCACGTACAGTAGGCAAAATTATTTAGAGATCAAGAGCTCGCCCCCCACCCAACAAAAATAAATTTCAGAAAAATAAATAAATAAAACTCCTTTAAGTATACATAAGTGAATATAATACATCCTCCTAGGGGCCAGCTCTCATCGTTCAGCCCTAAGATGCGCAATAGTCCTGAGCAGAAGACACATTGCCACATCCTCGGTCTTTACACTTCGGAACTTCGTCTCTGATCCGATTTAGCTGGTTACAGAATGAAGAAGTTAGGTTTCTAACGTCCTTAGAGAATTAGTATAGGAAAATACGAAAACAAATGACTAATATAATAGTTCTCTAATGCTAGAGGAACTACAAATAGAAGGCACGATAATCCTTTTGTTCAAAAGTATTATTTTGAACTTCGTCAGTGGTCTGGGTTTCTTCAGATGAATATGTTTCGAAAATTCTTCAGGTGCGTAGGGCATGGGAGAAAGTCTATTCTATTGGGCTTCTATGGAGAGCTACTCTCAAACCTGCGTTTCGGAAACCTATTCTGTTGGGCCCCTCGGTGGAGTTACGTTTAAACGTGGGTCTGAATTTCCGAAATTTGTCCTATTTCCGTCTTCAAGTAAAGAGAATATGGGACAAAATCCAGTCTGTTGGGTGCCTCGTTAGAGCTACCATGGTCTGACAATAGATCTACTGAGGGACCCAAGAGAATAGTTGTCCTTCCATATCCTGTTCAAGGAGGAAACAGAGAACCAATTTCCGAAACTTGGTGGTTTTAATAAACCCATGCCGATGAACAACTCAGAATAGTAGCAATGAACATCGTTTCACATAATAGTCCAGAAGCTTTAAACTTAACAATAGTCTTAGTCAGCGTTGTGCTGTCGTTAGCATGTTTCTGTCGCATGTACACGATTTGAATTCCAGTTTGGACCCTGGTCTATTCTGAGGCTTTTATGCCTGTCACGAGTTCTCACAAACGAACACCGAGACAACATGCTTCGATGACATCAGACAAATTTATTTCCCATAATCTCTTTTAAACGGGGGTTCCGTCCATACTGTCCTGAAATATGCCGTATGACAACAAAAATGTGCTCTTAACAAGCTTTAATCAGAAAAGGAAAGGATGGAGGTGAAACGACCAATATTCGTGCAAATAATATGACTGATTATTTAAGCTCTAAAGTTAGCAATCTCTTAATTAATTTTCAAAAAAATCTTCCGAAATTACGTCTTAGATAGTTGACTGATTTTAACGTCATTCTCTTAAGTGATGTGGGTAGGGCCTGTTTCTTGCGTCTGGCATCCCCCATTGTGACATAAACCCTTGAAGCCAGGTGTTCCTTTCGGAGGGGGAAAACAACAGCTGATTACAGAAGTTCACCATATGCTGGCGTGCAGCAGCGAACGCTTTCTGGACTATAAAGTTCACACTTTAAAATATTACAGCAGCAATGTTTAATAATCGGTTTAGTAAGCCAGACGTTTTAGGAAGGACAGCGAAATGCGATCTCCCACTGGGGGTCTAAAAATAGTTAGTACGTTTACGGGTGAGGCAGGATTATCGAAGTAACAGGGGCAAACGTTTCTAATTCCTGTTCATTACTAAGAAGTACATGTTAGATGCTGTCAAGAGGACGACTGATCTCACTCTGTTTTGATTCGTGATCGATTTTTAGAAAGGGGGGAAAACGACGCGTGCTGTCGTCTGGTTGCCTGGTAACGAGGAGCACAGCCTGAGATATCTTCTGTTTCGCTTATCCTGGTAAGACTGTTCAGGTCCATTACTTATGTCCATACAGGAACCACGTAAATTGTTAAAAAAACTTCACAAAACTTATGTAATACTAAAGACAGTTGTAACTGTTTTAGGTATGGAATCATGGCTATCGGCAGTAAAACGGATGTTTCAGACAACATTCGTAGCAAAATGAAATACCAATGTGAAGGTGACGACGAGAACAGTACAAAAGTGGCACATGGAAAAACGGCGAAAGGTGAGTAATTTTCCGAACCAATCACGACACGAGTATTTTATTTTACCTCATAACTCCGCTTCTCCAGCTTCTTATTCAAACGCAAGCAGTACACAAATACTGTAGCGTTGAATTCTTTCTGCAAGATATAATAATAAAAAATCCATTTTTCTGACTTATGCATTATTGGTTACTGCTACTCTTGACGCTGCTGCTACCAGTGTTTTTTTCTGGCATTATATTTTTCTAATACATAGATCAAATGTCATTTGTTTGTGTTTCTGACAGCATTTAAACTATATACACTTCCCACAACCAGTCACTAGACAGAGACTTTCTTCTGAGAATTACTGGTTTTATTGTTAACACTGCTACTTAACAACTGACAGATACTTCTCATGTATGATGTTCCTTGTTGTTTTTGTTGCTGCTCTTCTTCTTGTGTTTGTTTATTTACTTATTCAACAAACAAATTAAAAATTATACCTACTGTTTTATATTGGTGTAAAATCTTGTCACCCTATGGGAAGGACACAAATTGAAGAATGTTTGGGAACATGGTTGTGAGGAGAATATTTGGACATAAGAGAAAGGAAGGGACAGGAGGATGGAGGATACTGTGTAACAAAGAGCTCCATAATTTGTACTCTTCATCAAGTATGTGGGTGATAAAATTAAGGAGAATTAGTCTGATTGAACATGTGGCAGGCATGCAAGAAATGAGAAGTGCATACAGAATACTGGTTGGGAAAAAATGAATGGGAGACACTACTTGTGAGACATAGATGTACATTGGAAGGCCATATTAATATGTATTAAGAAACAGGATGAAGGTATGAACTAGAAAAATCAGACTCAGGACAGAGACCAATGGCAGGATTTTATGAACATAGCAGTGGATGTTCAGGTTCTGTAAAGGCACAGAATTTCATGACTAGCAATGTAAGAAGATCTCTACTTCATGAAGTTACTTTATAGTAACAGATGCATGGTAACAGATTGCTGGCTTTAGCTACTCTTGAAAGAAGAACAGTTGCTTAGGGATGAAACAGCACTTCTGTTATTATTATAGAAGGCCTTTGTCTCTTTGGTTCTCAATTATTAGTATAATTAAATGAATACAGTTAACAATAATTTTATCAGGATAAGTAACGTGATCACCTAAGTTTTCAGAACTGCATAGATTATTCTTTCTAGTTATGGAACTGTCAGCTTTGAACAGCAAGATGGATATATTCTTAATTCACAATTCATAATCTGTGTTTATCACTAGGGCTCAGAAAACAAGATATAAAGTTTAGAAACACATGTGTATAATTTTATTTTAAAAGGCATTAATTAAATATATAGAGCAATACAAGTTGAGGGGAACCATCTGTGAAATTAAAGGATTGCATGAATGTTTCAGAACGGTTCCAGTGTCCCAGATGTGAGAAACATTTTGGACATCAACAAATCCTGCAGCTTCATTTGCGGGTCCATGAGTCAAACAGTGACTCACAACTAAAAACTAGTCATGAAGAAAACGAAGTTGTGAAGGGTGGAGAGCTGAATAAAACATCAGGCTGCATACAAATCAACAATGAACGAATACAATCTAGTCCTTCATGTAAGATCAATCACTTCTGGCTTAAACTGTCTCAAAGTTTAAACCTCTGATGCATCAAGTAGATTCATTGAAACATTTACTACGTCATATTATATTAAACTTCTACTAATCTAGCATGTTTGCAGCCTGTATCTGTCCCTCATTAGCAACCCAGGGATATGGAAAGCCATGATGACAAGTCACATTTCACATAATCCCAGGAAATGAATTTAATTACTTAACCAAGAAGCCAAACATAAATTGATTAAAAAACTGTTGAAAATTTTTTCTGGTATAATTATTATTAACTTGTGAACAGCCAAACAGCTTGTGGACCAGATGGATGTGCTAAAATCCATCCACCTTTGGTATCACATTCCGTATCATTATGTTCATTTGGTGGCAAGGGTTGTAATGAGCAAGGTATCATAGCCAGCACCAGCAGGAAGGATTTCACTTATTTTTGAACCAGGCACTTCAAATTGCAGACCAACTGCCAAGAACAAAGAAACAAACTTTTAGCCTGCACCCACTGTGGCAAGGCATGTTGGTTAAAAAAGCTACTGCAATGAAGATGAACATAAAAGGGGGGGAAAAAAAAGAACTATATAACTCAGAATTGCTGGGTTTCTGGACTTTTTCCATTGTTCGGTATTCTAGAAAATAGAAAACACAATGTTTTTGGAACTGGATATGTTTCCGTCCACAAGTGAGGAGGGGGGAAGACACCTACTCAGTTGGGTCACTTAGAAAGAGGTAAACTCAATCACTGGACAACCCCTGTCAGATAATTCAGTGAGAGATAACAAGAAAATACATTTCTTGCTATCTCCCACTGAATTAACCTGGTCTCAGGTGATTAAAGAGCTGTGTGAATCTGACAGGGGTTGTCCAGTGATTGAGGTTAGCTCTTACTAAGGGACCCAACAGAGTAGGTGTCTTCCCCCCCTTTCACCTGAAGACAGAAAGAGATTCAGTTTCTGGAAAGTTGTGTTTTCTAGTCTCTAGAATACCAGATGATGGAAAAAGTCCAAAAACCCAGTAATACTGAGTATTATATGCCATCGTCAAAACCATTAAAATCAACTATAAAACTATCAATTCTTTGGCAAACCATATCAATTATGAAGTTTGTCTTGATGACAGTAACAAGCTATTTGAGTATATATGTTTCACAAATGCATTCTTTGTGATTTTGCATGTCATATTGGTGTTCATGTCCACTTACTGCAGACGCAATCTGTTGCTGCAAACTGTAACTGCATGGTCACTGAACCTCCTTAAATGTACACCATACTGACAAATTGTTTAAATTAACAGACAAAAATTTTAACAATATGTTTGGGTGTGTCTGTGTCGTGTAGTGTAGTGTAGCGTAGTGCAGTGTTATGAACAATTTATTTTATTTGATGAGTTGTTTTGAAAAAATTACAAAATGTAATTTAAGCTTCATATAAAACAGGTTTCTGAAGAGGAAAACTAAAATCAAATGTGTTTAGCAACTTGTAACACAGACCTTAAGTAACAAGTCTGAACAAAATCCACTGATTAGTTGTGGATATTAAATATATGCATGAATGGGCAGATATGGCCTCCCAATTATGTTGTTTGTGCAAAAGCATGTAAGTCATTGCCTAAGAAAAATTTTTTTATGCAAAATATCACTTCCAGTATTTGCATGGACCTTATCTAGTATTTGTATACTTGTACAGAATTCAGTTTTTAATATCAACTTTCAATAGAAGCATTAATATGAAATCTAACAATATAATAAAATACTGAAGTTATTTATGAAACTTCTTACTAGGAAAGAAGAAGGCTGGAAGCAATCCTGTGGATGAATTATTGAATTTACAGCTTATATTTCAACAGAAATATTTGAAACTGAAAATTTCTGTGGCTTTGACTGTAATTTATTAATTACAGATAAGAAATTTATTGGCCTGACCAAGATTCGTCTTGAGGATTGCATGCGATGTGATGCTTGCTCCTGTATTTATCTGGATGAAAGTGACTACAAAAAGCACATGAAAAACTTTCATCGCCAAGACTCCCCTAAGAAATACAGGTAAACTGAGTAAGATTTAGCCTCTAATCTTTATTAACTTTGAGGAGCACTACTATAATGGTGCTTGGTTTCAGCAGAACTGGCTGAGTATTGCATTTTTTCAATACCTATACTGATGATTAGTGTTTTTTGGGATGCGAAGCCATGAAGTCTGATAGAGAGTTACTAAGACTCCTCAGAATGTTTTCAGCTATCTGCCACATTATCCAGATGGCATATCAGAAGACAGTGGTCTTAAAATTCACCATCTAGAGAACCTCTAATCTCAATACTAATATCATTTATCCCTGATGTTAACGCCAGGCTGCCAGGCCCATAGCACCAGTGAATTTAAAATACCTTATTCTCAGATAAAAATGTTAAACAGAATATACCTTCAGACCACTGTTTTCATAATCTCCAACACAGAAATATAATTACCATACTTTCCTTAATTGGAAGCAGTGGTTCACAAAGCTTCATATCCAATAAGTAAGATTTTGTTCCCTGGAGATGTATCAGCTGGAGTATGAAGCTGACCACTCATTTCCAGCTAGTGCAGAGGTTAAGAATATGTGAAGTTTTACATCTATTTCCTCATGCATTCATGGTGTGCTGCTTGTACCCATTACCTTCACACTCACTCTGCCTTGTTTCCTGTATTACATATTTTGTCTCAATCCACATGTACTGAATTACCTGAAGACAAAGAATTTCTTGTATGACACTTCTTGCATAATGAACATTTTCAGATTTTGTTTTAACTTTGTAGCTAAATATAACTGTCTCATGAACTGGCCTTGAGTGCACCAATATAGTGATCCTGTATTTCTAGGCAAAAAAAGGGCTGTCGATCTTGCTGCAAACATTGTAACTGTAGAGGTAACCATCAGCACCACAATTTGCAGAAAGACCGAGGCAACAACAATCTCTTCCACTACAACATTAAGGTATGTTATATAACTGACTTGCCATTCACAGAAGAGAACATGTATGATATTTATCTTCTAGGCCTAAGAATGTTTTTCTACCCTTTGTTGCGGCAAAACTTTCAGATATAATGATATTATGAATGTAATATAAAGGTGTCTAACACAGTATGCTGCATTCCCTGTTTAGTACAGAAACTAAATAGCAATGATCCCTCCTTGATCATAAACTTTTCATAGACATGTTAGTTTGGAATATGTACTGGTCATTCTGACAGTGCTGAACTGTTTGATCAATGACAAATCTGAGTTTCTAACATCAAACCACTTAAGAAGAAATGTACTGTAATGGCATTACATTAATATAAGTTAATCTTTAATATGAAAGCTTATTTTCTTGTGGTTTAGGATAACTACTGGAAACATTTTAACCAGTTAAGTGGTTATGACATCTTAACATGTCATGTGGTGTTTTGTATCATAGTGTATGTGGAATCTACACATTATACATGTTTCTAAATACACCCATGTAGATATAATAATGACAGCCAGCAATGAAAATTTGTATGTTATGTTTGCGAATCTTCTAGTTACTTCAGAGTGTAACAGGAAGTTGCTGATTGCTAAATAGCTATCCTGGGTTTGTGTTTTTGTGAGTAAACAACATGATAGGTCCTAGCAAGAAGGTATGTGTGAGTGATGAGGTTGTGTTACATGAACTGTTGCAAGAGAATTGCTTTATACTCATACACTAGAAATTGCAGAAGCAATAGCCAGAGAAACAAATCAGTATGCAAAAGGAAATTTTAGGAAACACGCCCAATCTAAAACTAAGATCTAGGACCCATCACTGGAATGAGACAAACAGAAACGAAATAATGAAGTTTCTGGCATTCTCTCTGTTACATGGAATTCACCAGAAACCAGACAGAAAAAAGCTATTTTTCCTGGAGGCAAATTCTGAAAACACCCATATTTTTGGACCTGTTCAGTGAAAGGAGGTTTCACCTTCTACTCACATTTCTTCATTTTGTTGACAATGAAAAGGATCATCATCATGAAAGAAGGTACAACTGGGAAAACTGTAGAATGGCCCTGTGTGCTGCACTGTTTCCAATGCTACAATAAGATGGCTGACTTCTAGAGGTGTGAAAGGGGATCAAGGTTCAGCAAGAGGCTAGGAAGTGTCTAAATGTAAGATTTTAGTGGTCAGAAAGTGTACTATGGGCTGGTACTGAAAACTATGCCATCATTATAAAGACCTTCACAGTATGTGCCACTGGAATTGTAACAAGTGTTTCTGGTGGTATAATTGTCTTAGTGAAAATTTCATAGTCTGTACAAAAAAACGCATTTGCAGTTGATGTCTGGAAGATCAAAGAGCTTTTGTTGCACAGTTCAGTCATCCACAGTTTGTGAAGGAGGTACAGATTCAGCTCACACAGCGAGAAGAAACGTCTGTTATCAATGAGGCAGACACAGCTGTAGTAGGTCATAGTGAAATGTTGCAATAATCACACATGTGAGTTTTGGCTGGAGGTGGTTTGTCAGTCGGCTTCTATGATCATGTTTCATTTCTAAACACCAGATGCCAGTCAGGACTGCATATACTGAATGTGCATGAGTCAGATATGCCTTTGTGATCATGTATTGGGAACTGAAATGATTGCCAGTGGCACACTCTTGAGAATAAAGCCAAAGTCAGAATTTTACTAAAAAAATATATATATATAAACTTTGATGTAACAGGTATACAAATTAACTCTGATAATTGGTTTTTCAGAAACTTTTTGTTTCATAATTTTATAACAACATATAATTGAGATACTGAATATTGAAACAGGAACAACAATTGTGAAATTAAATGCTGCATTAACAAATTTAAATGTCTGGGGAATTTCAATGTCCCATTGCTGGAGTGATATAGCATGGAAAATGTACCACTTAACTGGTTAAATACTGTTTTAGATCAGAGTCTTCTGGATTATGACACCATACAGCCTGATAAGTGGTTACCAATATAAAAAGTGAAAGTAACCCTGTAACAGGCTGTGGAGGCCCATAGGGTTGTGGGATGTTGAGGTTCCCACATTTTCTAGACAATCAGCTCATAGATGGCTGAAAGGTTGTCAGCCCTATGCACTGGCTGCCCTTTACCCACAAGAATATTCCAAGAATATTCCTGGTACTCATTTCTGTTAGAAGCTAAGTCAACCCCAGAGCCATAGTGTGGCTGGAAGGATTAGGTTAATTGAAAAAATCCAATGACCTCATTATGGGACTTGAACCCGCGACCTTCTGGCTTGTAGCATAGTGCCTGAACCAACTATTTCAAATGAAATTTCTGCCTCCATATTCAAGGTAGACTTCTACCCTACTATCTTGGAAATAGAGGGAATATGTTCCTCTGCACTGTTGGCACCTACCTACCAGATGGTTTCATAACTTAGAGGACTACAAACTAAATATTCACTGCTGCAAAAACCTCAAATATCATATTTTCTAAATGTTCTAGTATTTAAAAATTAACACAACTTATATGGGAATTTGCTCAATTGTATGTAGTTTAATTACAATTTATTGCTTGCATCCATTGTACACTTATGATGAGCATGTGCACTGACAGACACCAATAGCTATTGATGCCAATGATGCACATGTGTATCACAAACTTCCTTCCATATTCCTGTGAAAAAATTTAAAATAATGTGACATGTCTGCTGAAATCCAGAATTGTGAAGCCATTACAGACAGCCGTTGCTAGGTAATGGCTGTGTAAACAACAGCAAAGCTAGAAGAAAGCATGAAACATCGGGTGGAAGACATTCTGGTGTCCCTTGACCACAGGACACAGGAAACCCAAGCCGAGATAAAGGCAACGTAGATTCTAGTTGATACCATGCGGTCAGAACTAGAGGACAAGATAGCGTAAGTCACAGACAATCCTCTCAAGGAACTCAAAACTGCTAGGCACAAGTTCAAAATGCTGTTAGTTGTAGTTGAAGCCAGGTGTATGGCCATTGTGTTCCCCCATGGTCTTGAACTGCCATTGGAACAGAGGACATGATGTCAATCTGTCAAATTTAGGCCAGTTTCTGATCTCTGGCAAGACCTGTGCTCAGCCCTGTCTTCAGTGGTAGAATATCTGAATTTGCAGGCACTCCGAGTATGGAGGGCACCCCACCCACTATATCAAGCTTGAGGCAGTGGATGTAGCGCCCTCCAAGCTCTGGCAAGTGAGCGCAGGACATTCTAGGTAGGTTGTCACGCCCCACTACACACACACACACACACACACAAAAACAACTGATGACTAGCGTACTGGACCTGTGGGGAGCCAGGCCACTTCTGGGATAATTGTCCTTATGAGAAGGAGGCACAACATGATGGTTTGTGTGGGAAAAGAGATGAAAAACCTCCAAGAGACACACCAAAACTGGCAAGAAGAATTGTGAAGTTGGCAAATTCAGCTGTTGCTAGGGAATGACTCTGCAAACAATGGCCGTTATTAGGCAATGACTCAGTAGTGATCACACTATCACCCAAATAAACTGAACGCATCAATAGAAGATAGCGTTTTCTATGTGGTCCGCATTGGGGCTATATAGCTAGAACAAGTTGGCAAGCTAAGCAGTCTAGAGACAGTTAGTCAATCAGTCAGTTAGTTAGTTGAAAGTTTCAGTAGTTGAGGCTGGGGACAGTTTGGGAATTTAGAGGAAGGGGAACGCCCTTTGTTGGAAGATGCTACCAAGCAGCACAGTAATGACTGTGACTGAGAACATTAGCCTATGTGTGGCAGTGATCTGTAAAGTGTAGTAACGAGTTGTGTGTTAAAAGTGTCCAATAAATTTGATTACTAATCCAAACCCCGTCTATAGTCACTCCATCATGTGGCAATAAAATGGTACAGTTAAACTACTATTGGGTACATTATAAGTTATCTGAACCCCCAAAAAACTACCAAATGATGATGTCTGTCATGTACTTAATTAAGGCAGGAAGATTTTTTTCAGCATTGCATATGACATATCTGTTAAAATCATAACCTGAATTACTGCACATGAAAAGGAAGAAACTTACTTGCATGCACATAAAGATAAGGACAGATACAAGTAGGTTGGTCAACTATAAAACTTTTCTTCCTTTTTTTGCTGTGTACATGCTTAAATATGGTGACCAATTTTTAGACACAGAGTTGATCTAACACAGCTGACAATTCAGGATGCATGACTATATAGTATGACTTTTTGGCATTTGACTGATACCAGGTAACAGTTCATGTTATGCTAACTTGGAGTCTACCAAGTTCCATGCAATTTGAGAATAAGCCTTATATGCATTGACACTGAGATTTTAAATCTAGCTGAAATGTGAGCTAGTCTCTAAAATTTTGGGACATTTTATGACACTGTTCCATCATGTGTCACAGTTCTTAGAATTCAAGAGGCAGAGAACTTCTCTCAAAGATTCAGACAGAAGTAAACAACCAAATTAATGAAATAACTAAGGATCACAACATATAGAGATATGGAAGGACTGACTTCAAGATCTTCAATTTCCAATCAAATTCCTTTGATGCAAGCAAACAGGAACTAAGCCTAGTACTGTAATATAAGTAGTGTCAATGCTTCCCAGTAAGGTTCAAGAGGATGGAACATTGCTTGGAATGTAGGGATGAAAACGAGAACATATATTTGTTGGAATAAATCCATGTTTCAAAACTTTACTAGTTTTTAGTTATAATATTGTAGTTAAGATCTAAAAATAGAAATAACTAAGAAAAGAAACAAGATGATCTAATTTATTTTGTTTTATCTTAAGGATCGCTGGAGTAAAATGGTTTCAAGACGACTGAGTCCAGAGGAACTGAGGCAAGACATCAAGGCTGATCCAGATTTTGACCCTGATTCACCTGGAATATTGGATTACAGCCATCTGTTAAGTCAAGTAGAAGTGAAAATCAAAACTGAGCCACCAGAATATGAGGAGAATTTAGGGCTGTCTGGATAAATTGACAGCACTGAGCACTGCAGAGTTGCCAGCTCCTTATATTTACAATCACAATATCAATATTTCATACAAAGTGTTGGTCCAATACAGGGCCAGCACAAGTCTAAATATCAACTCAGGAGAAGAGAAATTAGTCCCACCCCCACCATGACTTAAAAACAAGTTGTTTCTCAGAACTTTTGATACAATTCATAACATAAAATTTCCAGACACTGTGGCAAAAACTATCATTAATGCTGTAATTCTTGCTACATAACATGTCTATATTACTGAAAATTAATGGTCATAATGTGAACTACAGATCTGCCAAAATTGATTTTAATTTAAGAAATGTAAAACGTGCCATGCCCAAAATAATCCTGGTCCAGTATAGGCTGTGCCAGAGCTCAAGCGGTTAGTCGCTGGCTTCCCACTGTGGTGGCCCGGGTTCAATCCCGGGTCTGGTCAAGTGGGATGTGTGGTAAACAAAGTGGTGCTGGGGCAGGTTTTCTCTGAGTACTTCAGTTTCCTCTGCCAATCTTCATTCCACCAAATTCTCCTTCATCATAATTACCCAGGGCAGGCTACAATAGACCAATCAGTTGCCATGATGCCGAGTGGACCCAGTTGGACTCCACCCCCCACTATGTGAATTAAAAAAATTACCCTGGTCCAGTGTTTCAGTGCTTAATGTATAATGACCCTGAATGTGAAGTATTGTGAAATTCTTCATTATATGAAGTCACTCTGATCTCAAACTCTTACCCTCCATATATTTGAAGGCTGGTCATGTTGCAAAACAGAACAGCAAGTTACTTGCTTAAAGATATTTCTGCAATATTCTTCTTCTTCTTCTTTTATTCCTGTTGCTCCCACTTCGAGCATAGGACATTCATAAACGGCTCACTTTACTTCAGTTTCTTAACCTTCAACAGGTGGTGGAGCACCGTTGCAAGACTGCTACCTAGCACAAACACAGAATAAACGCAAACAGACATCCATGCCTCGAGTAGGATTTGAACACACGAACCCAGTGTTCGAGTTAGCAAAGAATTTCATGCCCTAGACCGCATGGCCACTGTGATCAGCTTCTGTAATATACTTTATACACATAACATTGGGCTTAATGTGTATGTGTGTACAATGAAAAAGAATCCCTATATTTTATGGTACTATATTTCATAATTGACTTATTAAGACAATTTTTATTACTACAAATAGAAACTTGAAGTTACAAATCATTTCAACAGGTTTCAGTTAAGCGCTTTTTGTAGCTCAGCAAACATCAAAGTGATATTCAGTGTCTGTCCAAGCCCACCACAGCAAGTTTGAAGCAACAGGTGCAATGGCTGTTGTAAATAAAAAATTCTGATGGGATAAGCCTTTCCTAAGTGACAGCCACAGCCCCAAGAGGCTGCAGATTTTTTACAAAGTCAAATTATGGCCCATATATAGTGACAAAAAAGCCACATTAGATTACAAATGTATGAGTTAAAAGAGAAGTACTTTTTAGATATCAGTTCTTTGACATAGTTACATCACATTCTTAAAAGTTACGGAGAGTCAAACATCTTTATTCATATGAAGGGGATGTCAGATTAAACAAGTTTTGAAACCTCTGGAACACTGTTCTTCCTGCAATTCTCTGAAAGAGAAGCCTAGTGCAGTTAGATAGGGATTTATAAGTACCATCTCTGACAATCCAATGATCTGAATATTTGGTTTTTAAGATGTCAAATATCAAATGCCTCCTGTAAAGTTCAATATACAGTAATCAGTTTGTGGAAAGAGAAGCTCAGACAACCACATCCTATATCTATGAACATTTACTGCATAATTAGAAAAAATATACCTAGATCCAAGAAGTAATCCATTTGTCCAATTTGGGGATTACCGATGATTTACTTATAGCAGAAGATGGCAACTCTGGTGTTTTCTTAAATTTAGCAGTGAAAGTGATTTTGTTCCTTACTGTACCAACTCCTAACTTAACTCTTTCTGCTTATATTTCCCATTATTTCTGACACTCATAACTTTGACATTCTAATACACCAATACTTTCACGTATTCAATCTCTGACTAAAACGATATTTGAGCACTGTCAATCACTTTCAATGCTGACTTAAATGCAGTGCTGAGGTACACTGATTCTGGACCAAAATAATTATATAAGTTACAGATAATTTATGAACCATTACCAGTTCCTTCTGCACTCCATTTTTCATTACTTTGTGTGTCATATATGAATGTTCATTAATGACATACTATTATATTTTTTAGTATTTTATATAATGTAATTTATAAACTATTTATTACGCAAGTAAATGTGAGCAAGCAAACATTAACTATACTGTATGTTCAAGTCAATTTGCTAGTCATGTAATTTAAGCTGTAATATTCAAGAATGTAATGGTTGTAAAAACAGCTCAATTACGTAATAACTTATTCTGATAAGTTAGAAAATAATGCAGTTACCTTCAGGAAATTGTCTTAGTCTCTTCAGATGTGATAGTGTTTTGTTATAGATTTCACTCTTCTTTGGGGAAGTTTTATTGAGAAATGTGAACATAATTCGAGCCAACTGTGGCTCAGCCTTATCATGAACAAGCTGCAATAAAGAAAGATAATGAATAGGTCATAATTTATGAGATCAGAGACAGTGCATTTAAAAACAGGGCCTAGTGCAATGTTCAATTATGGAAAATACTGTGAAAATTGACTGCAACAAAATGATTATACAAAATTTACATAATAAGAGAGAATTTATGACTGTGTATGTGTTACCTATGTATGTATGATAAGTGTTCCTAATGCCACAATAATTTTTTCGCACTTACCCAGCAGCAGTTATGTTTTGAAATGGTGCCATCTGACATAAAAAGATGTACAGTGGAGCCCTCATTTAAAGTATAATTCAAGTGATCAAACTTACTCATCTAGGGGCTGGATTTCCTCCATTTAAGATTTTCCTTAACCAAGTGTAAAAATCCACTGCTCTCCATATAAACCTCAAACGGGGTTTCCCACACAATTCCCTGTTTTCATGAAGAAAGAAGGGAATAAGATAAAGATATGAATGGTATAAATGCAAGGAAGAAAGGGGATGAAGATATGAAAGAAACAATTCTTCATTCATTCCAGCAAGCTTATCTGCTGTTAGAATATTTTAATATTAACAAACAAAGCATAAATCCCTTAACTGTGCTCATGTAAATAGATGTTCTTTTTCACCACTTTGCTTTATGAATTCCTGTTCTACATATATATACACGTGTATATACAGTAAAACTTGGTTATAGCAACATCGGTTTCTGCGANTATGTTCTTTTTCAGCACTTTGCTTTATGAATTCCTGTTATACATATATATACGTGTATATATATGTATACACACATGCACACACTCATATATCCTGTAACATTTTCTTTGTGGATTACTTTATGATGCTGTCAGTAGCCTGACTGTATAGCATCAACTGGTATGTAAGTAAAAGTAAAGGTATCCCTGTAACAGGTCGTGGAGGCCCATAGGGTTGTGAGATGTTGAGGCTCCCACATTTTCTAGAAAATCGGCTCACAGATGGTGGCAAGGTTGTCAGCCCTATGCGCCAGCCACCTTTTACCCCCAAGAATATTCTTGTTGCTCATTTCTGTTAGAGGCTGAGTCAACCCCAGGGCCATAGTGCGGCTGGAAGGATTAGGTCAACTGAAAAAGATCTGGAAGGAAAAAATTATGACTTAAGGTACTAATTTGGCATTTGCCAGCAGGACCTGAAGAAAAGCACAAAAACCATAGTCACTGGGGCTGGTGTCCTGGCTGAGATCCAGCCTCAGTCTAGAATGCTACAGCTAGATCAATGTGTTTGGTTGTGCAATGTCATATTAATCCTAATAAAAGGCACAACATATCCTTCATGTTGAATTTTTCACTTGCTAGTGTGTATGGTATGCAATTTGACATACTCTTGCCTAAAACTGACTTCACTTACCTGCTTCCCTTGCAACTCAAAACTGCACTTCAAGAGTTTTTACTACAACTGTCAAACTACAGTAAAATACAGTAAAAATAATTAATTAGGCATTATGCCATGAAGACATATAAGGAGTGGAGGATAGCTTTACCATTCTTGACTTTGCCACTAGATGGGGGGTGAGTGCTAAGCTTCATGCCCCAACCACTTTAACCCCGGGCAAATAATCCCCAGTACCCACTGGACAGGAGGCTGGGTGGGCCCCAGAGCCGGCCTGGATGCTGTTGAGAAGAGAAAAATCTCAGCATGCTAGGAATCGAACCCAGGCCATGTCAAACTACAGTATGCATTTTAATTATAGTGCCTTATATAAGAAGTGCTGAAGTCAAATGCAATGCTTTCTTACTGCTGTAAGAATGTGTCTCCAAAATTATGCAGAAACCATTCTGTATACAAGATTTCACTATGTAGAGGTATACCATAATCTCAGAAAGGCAACAAAATGTTGTAACAAGTAAATGTTCTCTGTAATCTAGAAATGTTTGAGAGATATATATTTCATTTATCCAATAAACATTTCACCACTTTTTCATCTTTTATTATGATATTGCAAAATGTAAGACACTGCCATTACAAAATGTACTTTTACATATGAAGAAACAGACTTAAAAAATTAAATCAATGTCAACCCATTTTCCAAGCATGGGCCATGCAAATGCAATGTAAAAGTAAAGAGACATATAATATTAACTGTCATTGCAATCTCCATCATTAAATCTCCACGTTACCAAGCATTCACAGCTTGTATTATTTAACATAACTTAAGATTCTTAAGACTTTGTGATTCTCATTTATTCATTTTCAAGATCAGTACTGAACAGATATTATGCCATTTGTCCTGAACTGCAGTATTAGATCCACCTCTTCATAAACACATTTCTTGTATAAAGCAACATGTGCTTAAAAACGTTTTAACATACAAGAAACAAATCAAGGAACCTTACCTACTTGTTAATAAGTCATGTATAAAAATGTCAGCAAACTCAGGACCACAACACCCTTATTCCTGCGTTCAATTAAAAGAGCCTTGCAGAAGATGGCATCAGACAGTACTTTTCACAGGTGATATATACATTAATACTACTGGATATTCTTTGTCTCTCTTAATCATTATCATAAAAAGCAGCAATTTGATTTCAAAAACTGTCACACAAGTACTGAGGTTATCTAACAGTTGAACAATAACAGACCATTCTGATAATCTTTTCTGTAAGTAAAACTGTTATTTGTATCTAGTG